CCTCAAAGTAAGCATGATTACAAATGTGATATTGATTTTATACAACAGTTCAATAAACAAGTAGTTAATATTAAGAGACTTGTTTTAGACACCATATTTCCTGTTTTTGCTCTATTTCTCCAGCAAAAATCATTTCAAGCACAGCGCTGTTTCGCGTCTGAGCAACAGGACACTGTTTTGTTCCTGAATGAATCACACGTTTAAATGACTCCGTTCAAACGCAATGACTCGCTTATTAACAGTGACTTGCTGCCACCTACTGGCGGTTTTAATTTCACATTTAAGGTACCTTTTCATTTTTAAAATAATTTCAAACATCAGTTTTCAGTGTTTTATGTTTAAAATACTGTTTCGCGTCTGAGCAACAGGACACTGTTTTGTTCCTGAATGAATCACACGTTTAAATGACTCCGTTCAAACGCAATGACTCGCTTATTAACAGTGACTTGCTGCCACCTACTGGCGGTTTTAATTTCACATTTAAGGTACCTTTTTATTTAAAAAATAATTTCAAACATCAGTTTTCAATGTTTTATGTTTAAAACATCAAAACATTATTTATGCATTTGTAATTGCAGGTTAAAGTATTTAATGTTCCTCAGAGCTGAATTTAACAGTGTGTGAAAGCATCTAAATGCCACTTCTAATGCAGCCTCTGTGTTTCCTCTGCATTGCAAAGATCAATTTTGTTGATACTGAATTAATTTGCTTGGTAACAAACCAAATGCAAGAGTTTGACTCAAAAGATGGTGCACACTTTTAGAAAAAATGGTAAAGGTAAAAATGCCCATAAAACTTGTTGGAAATGATTAATTTCTAGGGATGTAACGATTCACTCAACTCACGATTCGATTCGATTCGATTCACGATTTTTTTTATTATTTCTTTTTTTTTACAAAATGAGATTTAAGACAAATTATAAATTAAATGTGTCCTTTTATTCACTCATCTTAGTTCATTTCGATCTCACATTTATAATCAACGAAGCTCTCTACACTGCGCAATGAATCTCTTATTTACACCCCGTCTACACTTTGCTTATGAAAGGATTCGTTAGATATGTCTGTGATACATTACTCAACGCTGCAAAAACACGTAGAAACCTTTGAAGCTCCCCTGAGCGCAATCACAAGTATGATGATCGGGTCAGTCGCACTGGTGCTCCTAAAAATTTCATAGTCGCACGCAGTAGTTTTCAGTCGCAAATGCAACTGAAATAGTCGCACTGTAGAGCCCTGCATCTAAACTTTTCTAAAGACAGCAAGTTCCCCTCAGACATGGATTCATAAACTACCCCTAAATGAATCGCGATTTGTTTAGCATCTCAACCGATTTGAATCGTCACATATTTGAATCGATTTTCAACCGGCTCGCGGTTAATCGTTACATCCCTATTAATTTCTATTACTGCTGTGAACTGACCACACAGAATATGAAGAATATCAAAAAATGTAGGAGTCAGCTGTCCACGGTAGTCCTTAAGATATCAGCACAATACACTCAGCAAAATATCTAATTAGCGTTATCGATAAAATCCCAGAATATTATCGAGAGATTGTCAATATCGCACACCCCTAATTTGTTGTTTAATTGATATAATTTATTGATAATGTTTAAATTAATATCATAATTAATACTTTTGACTCATCCATTTTCTTAACAATGGTTTAAAGGCTGAAATGTAAAGTCTATCATTTTATAAAACTTTGTTTTTGTGAAAACTTGTTTCTGAACTGTAAATTATGCTTTTTACAGTCATTTTACAGTTTAATATGGTACTACATTGCCCTACCCCGCTCATATGGTATTCATTTTATTTGTGCAGCTCTTAAAAAAAGGTCTTAAGTCTTAAATTTGAGCTTAAAAATCCTGCAGAAACCCTGTTACAGAACACTGAAGACTGGAGTAATGGCTGCTGAAAATTCAGCTTTGCCATCGCAGGAAAATTACACTAAAACATTTAAACAAAAGTTATTTTAAATTGTAATATTTCCCAGTATTACTGTTTTTACTGTATTAGTCAAGTGTGGCCTTGTTGAGCATAGAAGCAAGACATTGAAAAAATCTTATTGAAATCAAGCTTTTGAACAGTATTTTTTTTTATTATAAAAGCACAATTCCAAGTTTTCTTTCCCCTAATATGTGTCTTCTGTTTTTTCAGGAATTGGAGGATTTGCTGCCCACACGGGCCGATCCACCCGTCATCTCTGGAGACGCGGAGGAAGTGGAATTGCAGGAGTTTGTAAGCCAGAGCTCCTCTGGTGGTCACCGCCGTGAGGCGTACAACGACAGCTCAGATGAAGAAGGAGGGCATCACGGTCCTGGCGTGCAGTGTGCCCATCAGTAACCCCGACTACAGCAAATATCTTGTCTGGCTCCAACAGTGGGGATTAAAAAAATGATCTAGTTGCACAACAAACAGGTGTGTTTATAATCTGATTCGGGGCTGCCTTAAATGATGAGAATTACATACAGCCATTCCTGACCACCTGATTCCCTTGTAGTAAACGCACCGATGATCCCGCATCTAGTAACTCTTTCTTGCTACTCCTCCTCTCCCAGCGGCCCTTTAGAGACAACCCCACTTCAGAGAGAAAAGGGTAATTGCTACGTACTGTGTGTAACTTGCTTTTTTTATTTTGTCATAGTATTCACAAGTTTAAATCTAACCATAAAATGCAGTTTTGGCCCTGGACATGAGCCTTTTTTTTTTT